TTAGAGCATGAAACTTGAGTGGCGTAGGAGGCTAATGCCTCCTACTAAGGCAGCATTTAACATCCAGCTGCCTGCAATTACTGCAAGTTCAATTCTCACCAGGCTCAAGGTCGACCCAGCCTTCCATCCTTTCTAAGGTGGGTAAAATGAGGACCCGGTTTGTGGGGGCAATAAGCTGACTTTGTATAAAATATACAAAAGTATGAAGGCTATTGCTTAACGCATTGTAAGCCGCCCTGAGTCTCCGGAGAAGGGCGGCATATAAAAATAAATAAAATAAAAATAAAATAAATAAATAAATGAAAATGCATTACATCTCAGTGATCCTTGAGAGGTAGCTGACTGTGGACCAAACATTTCTTCTCCCCCTTATCTAACATCCTCCCAGCCTTGTTGCTAAGCATTGGATCAAGTTTTAAAAGTATGATTCAGCATTTTGATGAAAAGGTTATCAATGCAAATAAAGCTTACATCCAACAGGATAAAAAATGTCAAGAAATTATTGTACAAGTAACTAAGTTATGATATCTGGATCTGGCAAATATTCATGAATCTCTTCTTTAGAGTCAGCTGGAAGACGAGCATGTTGAAGGTTAATGCAATTATAACAAATGGGGGTTGTTTTGCATTCCCTAGCATCTGGTCAGTTGTTCTGCTTCTTTCAAATGTTCTCAATTCCCTTAACAACATTAAATGAAATACCATGTCTGTCAAAGGAAGGAGAACTGATAAGAAATGTATCTTATTTGCAGTATCAACTATTTAAGGGTTATCTAACAGAACATGAGGTCATAATTGATTCACTGGGTTAGGGAAAGGACAGCCTCCCAATTGCAGTGAATCATTTTACTTCCTTATTTTTAGTCTTTTCCTTTTGCTGTTTTTATGCAGATGAAAATTTATTTGTGAGAAGATTCAAGATTATGCAGTTAGAAGGTACTTACAAATGTACTGGTCCATTCTCAGATAAAGAAATGCTATGTGTGTGTGACTGTGTGTGTATCTGTGTGTCTGTGTGTGTTTAACGGATGGGGAAGAGAGATAATATTTCAACCTCTGCATTAAAGCATAGCATCCTTTCCACCTGCTTCTCTAACAGAGGCCTTGAAACAGACACCCACTACTTAACATATTACTGACAGGATGATGAGAAGGCTCCTGTCAGGCACAGGCCAGCTGGGTGTTAGAGACAAAATGCACAGCCCCAGCTGACTAGTTAGAGGAAATCTGGAGAGGTACAATTACAGAGGCATATGACAAGCCTTCATGCCTGACTGATTTGAGAACCAATGACATGGCATTAAACAGCAATCCTTCCCATCCAGTGGTCACAAAACAGCAATAAGTCAACTGATGCACTGTTGTAAAATCATGATTTATTCCTTTGCTTTGAATACACAAGACTACAGCATGATGTTCTGGTAGAGTACCACAGCAGGTTCACTTGGGGCCCAAACTTCTCAGGCCTGTCTACAACAGGCATAAAATCAATGCTCTAGCAGTGCCTTTCTGAAAATGCTTCTCACGCTAGTTTAAGGAGAAGAAAAATACACTGAATTCACACCCACAAATATTACAGTTATGATATATAATATCATAGATTTAAGAAGTACAACAGGTAAAGGGTATGTGAGATGGCAAAATAAAAACATTATAAAATAACTGTTTTGGAAATAAATATGCACATGATATGCATTCATTCATAGTTAAAATGCTATTATAAAGTAAGAAATGCAAATATAGTGACAAACCAAGAAGCTGATCGGTAGTGGAATTCTCCTAACTTTTTAAGCGAAATCTGTTGCTTTCCACCAACACACCCCTCAGTGGCCTCAGACATTTCCTCTATTTAATTTTTATGCATAGTAAGTTTAGTGCTTTATTATCACAATTCAGTGGCACAGGGTTCCCAGATGTAAAGAATGTGGATTATAGTACAATTTTGCACTCCCACCTCCCTTCTGTCCCCCTCCCCAAAAAGGAGAGCACAAGAAGGAGAGAGCTTGAATTATGGGTTTTGATCTTGGTCCTACTGCCCTTAGATAGTGAACCAAAACTGAGCTGATAACATGGAAGTGACATCATAATTCAGTCTGCATGAACTGTCATAAACACTTGATATTAAGTTAACCTCCAAAGATAAAGGACAACTCCTTCAACAAAAGAAGGGAATTGATAACACTCTTACAGAAAAGTAGTCTACATAAAAAAAACAAAACTCCTGGTCTTATTAGGAAATAAAGGGAAAATTAATTCCTTGGTAAAGGTAATACACTCTTATTTAAATATCCAAGATCTATACAAAATATTAAAAATAATTGACAAACTTAGAATTCAGTTTTATATTCAATATAAAATTTTCTGCTTTTGCCTTTTCTAAAAATTTAGAATAATTGCATTGAAATCTCATCCATAGTTTATCAGGAGAATGAAAAGATTTGCCTTTCTCCTCACTGGGTCTTAGGCTGTGGTGAAATCCAATTTGTTTTACTACCGGTTCTGTGGGCGTGGCTTGGTGGGAATGACAGGGGAAGGATACTGCAAAATCTCCATTCCCACCCCACTCCTGGGGGAAGGATATTGCAAAATCTCCATTCCTACCCCACTCTGGGGCCAGGCAGAGGTAGCATTTGCCGGTTCTCCAAGCTACTCAAAATTTCCGCTACCGGTTCTCCGAACTATTCAAAATTTCTGCTACCGGTTCTCCAGAACCTGCTGGATTTCATCCCTGGTCTTAGATTATATGTGGGGTTGGAGATCAGGAAAAGTGAGTCCATTCTTCTTCTGCCCAATGTATCTCTTGCTATCCTTCCAAGGCTAGCAAGCTGAGGCTCACCGTCAAGGAATGTCCTCTGAGGTTGGATGGGATGGAGACAATTCATCACAGATCAATTCTATGAACTGGAGAACTGGCAGCTACAAGCATCACCCTCTGCTTCTTTTGCTAATCCTCCCAACCTCCTGCCAGGTCTGGGAGTAGAAGCGGAAGATGTGAGGAGAAATAGCTGTTTGCCTATCAAACAAGATTCATGGGATTGGAGATCCCGCAAATATAGAACTGAGGTTGAAGGGGGGGAAATGGAATCTTCTGCTGTGAAAAATAGAACTGCCCAAACAACACAAGAAGGTGATAGAGGAGAAGGGGAGCTCCTGCACTAGCCCATGTGGACACTGGACCTACACAGATCCTAGTCCTGACAGCATTGTTACCAGAATCAGCAAGACTTTTGTCACGAAATGAGGAAAATGGTCTTTATAAATTGGAACTGTTAAATAAAAAAAGTAAGCTGCCTTGACCGTTGGCTAAAAATGAGAGCATCCTTTGAAAATAGTTAAAACAGCATCTGTTGCAGTTAGCAGGGCATAAGGATGAACCTTCAGAGTATAAAACTATTAGCTTATTTTAATGTAAGCTAAGATTGTAATTGTTAGACTGCACTGTTGACCACAAGTTGGTTACATTTGCAGGAGCTTACTAGTTTAAGCTTTTAAACCCTGCTTCAGTGATCAAGAAAACAAAAAAGTTAAGATGCCTTCAAACTGAAATAAACATATTCATATAATATTTTGAGGAACAAAAAAAGCATTTTCCTGTTACATTCCCCAGTTTTATTTAACTTCTTAGACTAGTCCATACCGATATTGATCAAGTGTGAGCTTGCTTAGCTTATTTTCAAAGTCTACCATGATTGGCCAGGTATTGCAAATTAACATACATAAGAAAGTTGCTGCATTGAGTACACTAACAATTCTAGCTATAACCTCACAGAATGTCTGATGCTGTTTTACATTTGATTCATTTTCAAAAAAATTCTTGCCATGCTAGCTGAAGAGAAGAAAAATGTCTCTTTCAACATCAACATTGTAATTTGTGGTGATTTTATTTTCCCTACTAAATGACACCTTTATTTCTTTAAAAAAAAATGGAGGGAGAGCAATATGAAGAGGAGAAAATGGTATCACTAGTCTTTCTAAGCAATTTGTAAGAAGTAAGTTACAGCAATGCAATTCACTGATACGGCAGGTTGTTTGTGTTTGGGGGGGGGGTTTCCAGGGATTTATATTCCACAAATAAAAAGCCAACAAATCATTCAAAAAGTTTTTTAAATTAATTAAAATTAATGTTTTTTTAATGGATTTATCTTCAACTGAGCATTAGTTTTTGAAAATGTTAACACATCCACCTTATTGTTGAAGGAAGAATAGAGGCTCGCATGTTAAGGTCTGGTATTAAAGTATTAAGTAAAGCAAAGGGTTTGAAGGAGTTTAATTAATTTATTTATGGGCTTAAATTAAGCAGACACTATACAGATATAAATGATGCCCACTGGCATGAAGGCAATGTTATTTTCAACTTAACTGGTGATGGATTTAGAGTTATAAATGACACCACAAGGGAAAAGCTGAAACAAACAGGACTATCAAAAGATTTAAGCATGGATAAACACAGCACACCCATCTGCAATGACACAAGAAAGCCATTTCAGCCTAGGCAGAGGCATAAAACTGATGTAATAAAAAAAAAGTAGTTGGAATAGTAAGTCATTATCAGTCTGAAGAGCTGCTCAAAATCAGAGTCATTACAGTATATCTTCCCCAAACACTACTAGATTTAGGATAGCAGCTATTATCATGGCCCTTTGATTCCTGTCTAGTAGGTCCGATGGAATAAGCCACAAGTGAATAATAAAGATCTTATAATAGCCCTTAAGAATTCTTTATAGGTTGGAAGGCATAGAAATCTAACTCTAGAGGGTTAAAGAACTCTCATCCCTGGGTAACAAAAAGTAATTAACCTGCCTTAATGTATTTGAGTAAGCCTATATCAATCAGACTTTCGTGCTTCAAGAGTCAGATTAAAACGACATCTTTTAAAAAGAGTATGTAGATATTGTCTCATGAGTATATAAGGGACATATTTAAATCTAGAGAATTATGCAAGCCTTTTTTGTGAGATGCTCAATATAGTCTACTTGAAAAGAGATGTGTGAAGTACTCACAGTGCTTAGCTTGCTGGAGGTAATAATGATGCGTCTCTCATGCAACATGCTGGCATAAAGTTGTAGCATGTTATTCACATCCACAGCAACAAAATATTCAGTAAGATTTCTCTAGTAAATGAAGAATAAGGTCTGTTAATAAAGATAACTGAATTATATATAATTTTATTTCTGTCTAGTTAAAATAATGTATCTCCTTAACAAGCATTTAACTGAAATTTATCTATTATCATTTGCATATTTTGAAAACATATCCAAGAATAATCTTATATTTTCAGAAAGGTGCCTCTTGAATTGCTTGTTTTTGAATTTACTATATATCTAGAACTATTTATTTAAAACTCCAATTATATATACATAGTAAATCCTAAGTAAACCCTTGCATTAATTTTAGTTAAATTAGTTGCATAAATGCTGATATAATCACACTGCCCATACATATACACACATTATCCAAAATATCCAACATTACTACATTAATACTTAATTATGCAGTTCCTATAGGTGAATGAAGCCATATATTAATGAGGGAGTTTAATCAATAACTATTCAACAAACATACAGAAGTTTGTTAAATGATTTAATTTGTAAACCTATATAAATATTGCAAATATAATCAAAACGTACACTTTCAGGAACAGTTGGTAATCCAGTTAAATCAGGAGTAATAAAATATGAATGCTAGTCAAGAAAAAAAAATACAAAATTATTATTCAAAAAGACAAAATCATTATAAAGTAATACTGTCTGTATAAGCAACTAAATTTTAGATCTGCTTTGAGAGGACATATTATTAGTAATCAGAAGCACCAGATAATTCAACCCATGTTGATGTACCCATTAAAAAAAATTAATTTCTGCTGAAATTGTGCAGTAATGTTGATTTTGCATACATACTAAACAGATTTATGACAGCAACAATGCAAAAGAGGATCAGAAAATAACTTTGCACAGTAAACTTAAAATGAAAGCACTTGGAAGAGGTTAAAAAAATAGCCCTTTAGTTTCTCCGACACATACTATTATTCTAATTATTAACTAGTTTTATTAGAAAATTGATTAATGGAGATGTGCACTACAATAAAAACATATCCAGTTACTACTTTCTTACCTCTAGAGTGACATATAATTGGAAGTAAGAAAGGGATATGTGATATTCCTCACAAAACTTAATTCTGTTTTGGGGATTATAGTTACTGACCCTTTCCATGTATGGTTCTCATTGTGAAACATTTATGAGTAATTTTTTAAATAAAATGTGTTCTCCATGGTTTTTAAAAAGAAATGAGAGGTAATCAAACACAGAGGTTTTTACAAAGGAATTTGGGGAAAAAAAGTTGCCCACTCTCTTTTGGGATATTAGTAGCCTGGAAATGGCTCTTCACTCTACTGTTTCTCGCTCTGAAAAATCTTACAGCAACAAAATGGCTAATACAAAAAGACATCGGCTGTTTTCAATTTATGACCAGGGTTGGGATTCAGCCTATTCAGTCCGGTTTGGGCAAACTGGTTGCTCTGATGGTGAGCTGAGAGTGAACCGGTTCGCCCTGACCGTCTAGCTGATAGGCGCGGCAGAGCAGATTGCCGCGCCTCAGCTGTTTTTAAATGAAACGTGCTTGCGCAGAGCAAAGCGCATGCACAAAGGAAACCGGTTGTTACACCAGTTGAAACCCAACACTGCTTATGACCACAATTGGGATGGAACTTCTGTCTAAAGTCGTTGTGGTTGTTGTAAAGCAAGGCATCACATGGCTGGACTCAATGTTGCAACCATTTCTGCCATGGTCATTAAGCAATTCACATGATTGTTAAGCAAATTCAGTTTCTCCAGTTGACTTTGGTTATCAGAAGCAGGCTGGGAAGATGGCAAAACACAATTATCATAAATGCAAATTAGTTGCCAACTGTCCTAATTGTCATCATGTAACTGGGGGGATAACATGATTGTCATCACTTTGAGGACCAGTTGATACTTTTTCAGAGGCGATCATAACTTTGTACCAAAGTTAAACAAATGGTCATAAATCAGGAACTACCTACATTAACTATTTGTCACTGTGAGATTTTTAAATAAATATACATTTGTTTTAATCAAAAAATCAGAAAGCAAGCAAATGGAACTAGAAAAGAGGAAAAAACCCTATAAATACCCAAAATTAGAAAGGGTTTTTTTTTTTTGTAAAAAAAAAAAAAAGATATATTTTACTACCAACATAAATAAAGTATATTTTATGAATGCTATAGAGATAAAGGGGGAAAAAACATATTACCTCTCCCCTTATGTTTGCAAGAAATAATTTATATTTATGGAATGACTGATATTGGATTACATAAGGTACAGAATGTTATTGTGCTTTTAATGAGACAACATGATAGGTTGATATAAAAACTGAAGTAAGATTTGATCAACTGAGAGTTCTGAACACCATACTGTAGATGCTTAATATAGAACTACATTTCATTCATTAGTTACAATTTCAGAATGTCCTATTTTTGTTCTAACGATGGGCGATGGGAAACCTTATTTCAAAATAGAAATAATCCTGATTGCCATGCAGCTCTATTTTCAATTTTACTGCACAGCACAATCTATATCCTAGTAAAACTCTTGTGTCTGTTTGCCTGCTTGTAACCTTTAACTGGGAAAAAAGGTGCATCAGGGTACACAATTTTTTGAACCAAGGCCACTCAAATGAGTTAATTTATAGAAGGTTAGGACCCATTACTCCCATGGTAATGGAATTTTGGGAAGTTGTGGCTGACACAGTGCCTCCACACTGCCACAGTCAATGATTGTCATTTCCAACGCTCCCTGACAGCTTCCCACAAGTTAATATGGAAGCCAACAGGAAGCATAAACTCAGTCATGATTGTCCACCAAGTCTTTACTTATGGGAAACTAGCAGGGAATGTTTGTAATGAGGAAGCCAGAAAAGAAGATTGCACGTTGCCTGGATAAGTCTTCCCCACCTGAACAATTTCCCCAATCCCTTGGCACTTGCACTGTGCCAACCACTTGAGCACCCCCATGCATCTTTCCTAACCTACACAGCATCCTTATGTGCCTTTCAAATCACTGGTTTTTATTAGCTTTTGGGCAGAGAAAAATGGTAGTGAACACCAGCTCTTGAAAGGCTCAGAAGGCTGATATTCACTAGTGTTTTCACCAGATTTGTGGTCTGTTCCTCAAGCACACAGGAAAATTTTCTTTCCCTGCATAGAGGGGAGGAGAAAACCTTGCTGTACCAAGGTAACAGACCTCAAATTCTCCATTTCCTGCATGTGCAACCTAACCTGCCAATTCCCCACTGTCTTTCTGGGGAAGTTGACAGATAAGATTACAAATAGTAATCACATGATTGCAGGACACTTGACAACCAGTTGTAAATGTGAACAGATTGCCAAGCCCCTAAAACTAGGGGCAACACAATCATTTACAACAGCTGGTGATTGTTTACATTCCAGAAAGCATCTGTTCTAAGGCTGTCATAAAGGCAAGCTCTTAAAATCACCGGTCATAAGTCAAGGACTGTCTGTATGTTTAATCTGATCAATAGGCTTGTATCCTTGGGTTTTTACACTTTTGGATTATTTCCTATCGCAAACACCTTTCCTGGGTTTTTGGCAAGATGTAATTTAGAGGGATTGATTTCATAATCATTGAGAAGCCAAACATTCAATCTGCTGAACAATTATCATGAAAATGACACTGAAATATAATGAAGATATAATGGGAAGACATTGCTCACATACTTTCAACAGGGCCATCTGTAAATATATTCAGTGAAAATAATACAGTTTTGATCCCTACACTACTAAGATCCCTTCTCTGAAATACACAAACAACTGAAATAGAGAAAAAACATTATCTGCATTTTTTTAATAAGCAAAAGAGCTATAAGAATAAACTATTGTCACTTTATTAAATATTAAGACCCTTTTTAGTAGACAATTTACACATGTAGTTGCAAATCTGACAATATATATTCTTGGAAAATATATTCAAGTAGTTTGCCTTCTTTAGACCAGAGTTACAACATAGTAATTTCTCAGGAGAGATTTATAAATCTCTTGCAATCAATAAACATCATTTGGCAAGCAGTTTTTTTAAGGACCTGAGAAGAATATTTTGCACTTACTATTAACATATATGGTTGAGTATTCAAAATATGCTCACTGGAAAATACTTTGTTATTTTTCTAACAAGATCAACCAATTCATTTTTGAAGCAAGGCTTATTTGGCTGTTTAAAATGTGTTCCTTTCTAAATGAATTTGCCTCTTCTTTTTAACAAGGACTATTTCATCCTTTTATGCTTTTCCTTTCAAGTCATGTAAGATTTTATTTTTGTTTTGCAGAAAAAAAAGTAACAGGATTGCTAAAGAAGGAAATGGTGTGGTAAGAAAAACTAAGATATATATTATAATTATTGGTAAGTACTGTAAGTGGCCACTTAATGAGAAGGAAGGACTCACTGGAGAAGAGCCTAAGGCTGGGAACGATTGAGGGCAAAAGAAGAAAGGGACAGCAGAGAATGAGGTGGTTGGATGGAGTCACTGAAGCAGTCGGCGTGAGCTTAAATGGTCTCCGGGGGATGGTAGAGGACAGGAAGGCCTGGAAGAAAGTTGTCCATGGAGTCGCGATGAGTCGGACACGACTTTGCAACTAACAACAACAACTGTAAGTACTTATTGTAAACAGGCTTGTAACAACAAAATATTTCCAGAAAGGGGGCTTTTAAAACTTCTTAAAGGAAGCCTCTTCTTCATTGATAAATAATTATATTCACTACTATGTTAAATTTAAATTTGCAATAACACAGCCCAGATTGTTGCTCTCCCAATCTTCTAGGTATCTTAATTATTGTAATTATCATTGCGGGGAGGGGGGGGCAGTAGAACCAAATCCCATATGACAGCAAAATTAGATTTTAAAGAGAATGAAAATTCTAAAGACAGAATGTTTTGTTTCTATTGCCAATGTGCCTATTTGCAATCTTCAATATAGGTTTATGTGCCTCCTATCTCAAAATAGCAGGAAACCAATTTTCAGCCATTATGATGAGGAGTTTCAGGAGCTGAAAAAATGAAGACATGGGAGCTGCAAATGAGGTTCTGACACTGTAGATTGCCCATCTCAGTGTTAAATCAATTTAAAAATATATTTTATCCCACTTTTTTCTTCTTCAAAGAATTCAAACAGGAAATGAGTTATGAGTTTCATCTATAATAATTATATCTTGTATCATGAATCGCTTCTGGGTAGAAGGCTTCTAAACAAACATCTGATTTCATGCTCATACATCCAGTAAACTGGTTGGCTGCAATAAAGTTCAATTTCAAAATACTTTATTTAAAAAAATTATGTCAATGTGTTAGCCAAGAAAAGATTTCAGCTTTGCATTAAGTCTTAAAGAAAGCGACAGAAAGGTTAAAATATATTTATGGAGGATCAAATTACTTTATTCTATACAGATTACAGTTAAAGATAGCATCCCAAGTACTTTTCGAAGTACTTTTATCATTTAATAACTAGTATAACTTTTCACATAATAGTCTATTATTAAAGAATTTGTACATCCATATGTACAAACTATAACCAATTACCTATCTTTAAGTATATGGAATGCACCATGCAAAGAATAATCAATTACATGTATTGTGTGGCATTTGTTAAAATTAAGGGAAATGTAAAAAGGAAACAGCACATTTAAAAGAGACACCAATTCCTTGATCCAAAATTACCGTATTTTGGATATCAGAGTATTTCCTAAAACTAAAATAGGTTAAAGAAGTATAATGGCACATTTATGGCCAATATCAACATTTGGACTTTTACCCTGGATCAATATCAAATATATTATTATAAATTATTTAGAAGCTTTGTTTGAAAACAACTATAAGAGTGATTGTAAACAGTTTCTATTTCAGCAGAATTAGTTAGCAAAACTGTATTGAATATGTGTCTTATTTCCTGCACACTTGGCATCTCTTGTAGAACAGTCTTTTAAAGTTGAGCCATTTACCAAGTAACTAGCAGCTACTCCTCAAAGATTATATGGGAGGATAAACACAACGGAACACTCCACAATAATAATCAACATATTTAGTCATATCTATAAAAAGAATTGTATGGGGAAACCAAATTCACCACTATTTACAGAGTTGCCCTATTATATGATCCAGCTGGGACTTATCTTTAATATTTTAATTAAAATTCAACTTTCTGTAGTAAAAGCCATACTTACCAAATTTAAGCTGATAGGAGTATTTGCCTCTGGCACAGAATGGTTATGCCATGTTTCTAATAAATCATTCAAGTCAGCTTCCTATGCAAAATAAGATTTTTTTTTCAAAAATATATTCAATAGACATAAAAACTTCATTTGCATTCACTGTATATCAAGAGCAAAAATAAATACAATGACTTTTTATGCAAACAGAAACCATCTCATTTTTCCTCTTTATTCTCAAATGGACACATGAAAAATTCCATGGTTAATTTGTAAAAGACTGCAGTGTTTCTATCTGTTAATCAAAGCTTTATGGATTATGATTGTATTTACAATAAAGCAGGGGTGAAATCCAGCTGGTTATGACAGGTTCTGGAGAACGGGTAGTGGAAATTTTGAGTAGTTCGGAGAACCGGCAAATACCATCTCTGACTGGCTCCAGAGTGGGGTGGGAATGGAGATTTTGCAATATCCTTCCCCTGCCAAGCCCGCCAAGCCAAGCCATGCCCACCAAGCCACACCCACAGAACCGGTAGTAAAAAATATTGGATTTCACCACTGCAATAAAGCATATTCCTATATGAACTTCCAAAGAAAAACATTTTATAAAGTAATGTATAAAAGTATGAAACAAACATTGGTACAAAAATGCAACAAAAATAAATATATGAACAGTACAAAAAAAGATTAATAATAGAGGTGGAAAGGACACCAAACCATATAAAAACCAAGCCAAAATAAAAATAAAATATGTATAGCACATGCCAGATTTCTTTATTTCCAGGGCAAAGCTTTCTAAGGAACTACAAAATCATTGACAACTATACAATGTAAGGAGCACTCTATGTGCCTAATTTAAAAGCTTTATAGCCCACCACTATAATCTAGATAAAGCAGAAATAAAATGAAAATATCATCTGATATTTAACACCAAGTCCATTGTCTCACTTTAAAAAATAGATTTTTTACAAATTACTATAGGACCCAACATGTCTCTTTTGAAAGGTAATTCAACAAACATCAATCAATACATTCCTGAATGATGCTCAACAATCTCCCACAACAAATTAAAAATTATAGGCCTATTTCCCTGCTAAATTCAGACTATAAAATCTTCGCTTCAATATTGGCAGAAAGACTTAAAAGATATTTAAATAATTTCATACACTCCAATCAAAATGGGTTTCTGCCAAAAAGACAGATTAAAGACAATATGAGAATAGTCCTGGATACATTGGAATATTATGAGGCACATCCTGAAAAGCAAATGGCTTTGATATTTTTAGATCCCCAGAAAGCCTTTGATAATGTGAACTGGCAATTTATGTTATTACAGTTGGAACAGATGGGCTTTGGTAGAAAATTTATTCAAGCAATAGAAGCCATATACTATAAACAAAGAGCAAAAGTAATGATAAATGGAGAGTTGACAGAATCTATTGAGATAAACAAAGGAACGAGACAAGGCTGCCCACTGTCTCCTCTGTTGTTTGTATTAACATTAGAAGTGCTAAATAGAAATATTAGAGAAGAAAAAGATATAAAAGGAATGAAAATTCAAAAGGAAGAATACAAATTGCAAGCATTTGCTGATGACGTAGTTTTTATTCTTGAAAATCCATTAGAATCAACAACTAAATTGATAGACAAAATAGGAGAATATGGAAAAGTTGCTGGTTTGAAAATAAATAAAGACAAAACGAAGATCTTGACAAAAAATATGTTAATAAAACAAAAAGAAGAATTGGTGGAAATATTGAAGATGCAAGTCACAAATAAAGTAAAGTACTTGGGGATACATCTGACAGCAAAATGCAGTGCACTCAAAGAGAATAATTATAATAAACTTAAGCAACAGATAGAGACAGATTTGACAAAGTGGGAAAATTTACAACTATCATTGAAAGGGAGAATATCAACGATTAAGATGAATATATTGCCTAGAATCCTATACTTGTTCCAGACAATCCCAATCAGATTGGGGAAAGATTATTTTGAAGATTTGAATAAAATAGTGCTGAAATACATTTGGCAGGGTAAAAAAGCGAGGATGAAACTAAAGTTGTTGCAAGATGCCAGAATACGAGGAGGTTTTGGCTTGCCTAATTGGGAACTATATTATCAAGCGACAAGTTTGATGTGGTTTAAGGAATGGATAATGCTAAAAAATGGCAGATTATTGACTTTAGAAGGGCATAATTTGTTACTGGGTTAGCATGCCTTTTTATGGTAAAAGGAAACAAAAACACAGGGTATTTTAGAAGACATTTCATATGAGAGGCTTTGCTATTTACTGGGAGAAGGTAAAAAAACAACATTATTTAAAAATTCCGGTCTGGTTATCAACTATTGAAGCATTCTCATATTCAATAACATTTAGAAAGGAACAAATTGTTAGATACAGTATAGTGAATTACTGAATGAAAAGGGTGAACTTAAATCTTTGCATGAATTAGAAGTACAAGGTATAAAGATGAATTGGTTCTCCTATTTGCAAATACAGTCTAGACATGATAAAGATTATAAGACAGAAGGTTTTTATAACAACTTGACTAGTTTAGATAAAATCTTAACAGGTACTGATGAAAACATAATTAAAAAACTGTATGATTATTTATTAGAGGTTAAATTGGAGGATGAACAAGTTAAAGAAACAATGATTGCTTGGGGGAAAAATTTTGGCCATAGAATTGATTTAGAGAAATGTTAAAAATTGTGGTTGCAAAATTACAAAATGACTATGTCAACTGCATATAAAGAAAATTTGTATAAGATGTTTTACAGGGGGCACCTACCCCCGATGAGAATTGCTAGAATGTTCAAGAATAAATCGGGAAAATGTTGGAAATGTCATCAGATACTGTGCTCATATTACCATATGTGGTGGACGTGTACAGAAGCTAAAAGATACTGGACTAAAATCTACACATGGATAGAAAAAATGACACAAAAACCTATAGACTTTAAACCAGAGATTTTTTTATTGGGGATTGTACCTGAAATATACAATAGAGAATTGAAATATTTGATTGTGAATGTATTAACAGCGGCTAGAATTGTGTTTGCTAAAAACTGGAAAAATGAGAAAATGCCAACGCAAGACGAAGTTATTAAGAAAATAATGGAATGTGCAGAAATGAATAAATTGACATTTGAAATTAGAGAACAAGAAGATAAACAATATTATAAGATATTTTACCAATGGTTAGATAAAAAGACATGGAAATGAAATATGGTAGAGATTTTTCCAATGCAAGAAACGTAGAATTATATAAAATACGATATAAAGATGTACTGTTATTGGAATGATTTAGGAGAATGAAGGACATAATACAAATTAATTTAAATTTTAGATTATTTGGTATGAAATGAGGGAAGAAACAGCCATAGTTAAATATATGATTAATGAGGATAAATAATACATGGATATATATGAATAGAATGAAGGTGCACAAAAGACTTGTAACCAACCGACACACTGTTTGTATTTACATTGAAGATGTTTTTTTTATTTGTTTTTTATATATTCGTTTAAAAAATAAAATTTTGGGGGGAAAAAAAACAATCTCATAATGGCCCTAGGATTAGAGTTTCTAAAGCTGATCTTAGTATTCAAAGCAGGTTCATACTTTCCAAAAATTATCCCAAACTATCTAAATTACTTTTTAAAATGTAGCCCTTCCAAGAATTCATTCTATATCCAAATCCATTTTAGAAAGAGCGCTATATAAGCCAATTCAAGGGACACTCGAGATCTTCTAGTCCCATGATGGCGAACCAATGATGGCCCGCGTGCCACAGGTGGCACGCGGAGCCATATCTGTGGGCACGAGAGTGTTACCCTAGCTCAGCTCCAGTGCACATGCGCATGCTGGCCAGCTGATTTTTGGGCCTTCCGGGCCCACTGGAAGTCGGGAAATGGGCCATTTCCGGCCTCTGGAGGGCCTCTGGGGGGAAAGGCGTTTTTGCCCTCCCCAAGCTCCAAGAAAGCCTCTGAAGCCTGGGGAGGGTGAAAACGGGGCTACTGGACCCACCGTGCCATCATGTGCCAAAAGTGGGGGTCGCGTGGGGGGTCGTGCACACATGCATGGGAGGCGGGGGCCATTAGTGTAGGCATGCATGCATGCAACCCCCCCCCAGGCTCCCCACGCTTTTGCCACGTGACAGCAAAAAGATTAGCCATCACTGTTCTAGTTCAACCCACTGCTCAAGCAGGAGACACTACATGACTATACCATTTCAGACAGGTAGCTGTCCAATCTCTTCTTAAAAGCCTCCAGTGATGGAGCAACTAAACTTCTGAAGTCTTGATTTCTATCTTTACAGTTCACCTATTTCCAGTTTCACAAATAACTGGTTTCTTCCTCAATAACACAATGTGTCTTACTAAGCATAAACAAATGACAATCATTGAATAACATTATCTCTATCAATATAAACTGTGCCACTTTCTTGCATTTCTTTAGCAAATTAATCCAACATTTTATCACAAACTATTAAAAGTATCCACACTCAAATTCTATCCCAGGGTGTAATCCTGATGTATAATTTCTAGCATAGAAAAGTCATTCAATTTCCCTACTTAAAAAGGTTTTTAAATTATTAAGCTATTTATTTTAAAGAAAAATAATAATACCAGTAACCTAAAATGTATGTAATTCTTGATTTTTTTTCAAAAAAGGAACTACTACCTTAAAATCATTGATGATTAGCAGTTCTTCAGAAAATAATTTCTATTTAATAACAACAAAATTACCTGCTCTTTAGCTAAATATTCCGCCAGTGTATTTAAAAGTTTGTAGTACATCTCAAACCATGGCAAATAGCTGAAAAGACAAACAGAACAGCTGTAAGAGAAGGAAGCATTATTTAAAAATTATTTCACTGTAATGCATTTTTTGAAAAACCTTAAGCAAGTTTGATGATACAGAAGTGGAAAATTCACAAGAAAAGATAACTTTGAAAATATTTCAAACCACAAAGAAAGAAGCAATGTTAAAAAATATTCTGACTACAATTCAAGTTTTGATTAAAACTTGAGCCTTGGTGGCGCAGCAGACTAAAGTGCTGTTAAATAGCACCAGCTGCCTGCAATTACTGCAAGTTCAAATCTCACCAGGCTCAAGGTTGACTCAGCCTTCCATTCATTCGAGGTAGGTAAAATGAGGACCCGGTTTGTGGGGGCAATAAGCTGACTATGTATAAAAAGAACACCGCTTGGGGGGGGGAAAGCCCTACTAAGCAGTTATATACAAAAGTATGAAGGCTATTGCTTAACGCATTGTAAACCGCCCTGAGTCTCCCGAGAAGGACAGCATATAAATTGAACCAATAAATAAATTAAGCAACTTCTCTCTGTGGAAAAGCAACAGTTCTTCTTATCTACCTAGCTTACATGACATTGACACAGAGTTAGTGCACCGGGAAGTATTGGCAGGAGAAAATTCAATCCAGACCTTATGTAAGGCCATCATATTTCTGAAACTCTCAAAAAAGTTCAGAGCAATTTCCTTCTATGTCATTTTTCAAGTATTCTGATATTTAGTGGAAAGGAATTTTTAATTAAATATATTTTATAATTAAACAATATCAGCACACAGTCAAAGATAAATATATACTTAGTCAGTACTCCAAACAATAGTCAAATATCCTGCAAAAGCACTCATTTAATCCACCTCTGCTCCCTTTTAACCCCATTAGTCAGGGTTCAAGAATAGGACCTGCTTTCACAGAAATGTGGATTTTTCTGTATTTGTCCAGTGACAATAAATCCAAAACTGTAATTTCAATGGAAGCATGAAGTTTCCTCTGTCTCTAGAACACATTAATGGTTGTTTTAAATTTGTTTTTTAAAAATCTCATTTGTAACTAAATAGAGCATATTTTGAGCCTGTTTTGTTTTAATTCTCAAAAGAATATTCACAATATTCAGTATTCGCCATCCTTTAAAAATCTGTAATTTCAACATTTTTAAAAGATCAGAGTTTCATTTTACAGTTGAAATGTCTCAACAGCAACCCTTAAACATTTTTAAAAAGCAATCTTAAATTGTTAAGTTGAATACTTACAAAAAAATATGGCTAAAACTATTATAATGTACCTTCTATATTTTCATCCACACATTTGTGCCAATATTTTCATATATAAGATTAGGATGATCATGCATTCACTAGGCCATTATGTTTTATGAAAAAAAATGCACCAATTTTTTACACTCAAGGATCTCTGAAAGAGAGAGTTACACTAGGCAAATGCATGCTTCCTCTGTTACTTATTCCTCGTATAACCCACCACAATGTCCAACAATGCTTCTGGAAGCCTCCTCAGTCAGATATTTTGTCATACTTCCTCCCCTCATTTCCCCCAACTACATTATTTTTTTTTTAAAACTGTGGAGCTTCCATCCATTCAACTACATAAAGATACACACAAATCCTTTCTGAAAATCTGGTTGCAAGGACTGGAATGGGATGAGTTGAGGCACTTATATGATAACTCATAATGATGAGGAACACAATTAGGATTTAAATAAGTTTAAGATAGATACTACTGAATCTAGAAAAATCTTTACTTTAGCAATAATCACACAAAAGCCAATTCACAAAACTGGTTCACATGGTTGGTAGAAATTTCAGCAGGTTAGCAAAATTTTCAACAAATTTGCTGCCCAGTACATCAAACCAAAAGTTGGAAATAGCATCTGCAAAATCAATCATGGATGTGGCCGTGTATTTGCTTTTAATCCATTAGATCCTACCCAATGTAGTCCTTACCTGTCAGATAAACAACACCCGATATTCCATTACTAATTAAAAACGTATTTAACATATTCTTTTAATCCACTGAGCTACCAGTCAGGCATTTAAGCCTTCGTTCAAAGACAGTCTTCAGCTTTGTTGCACAAGGTCGATTTCCAGCTCTCTTGCACTTCCACTACAATTCTGATAAAGCTTTTATATTCACAAGTCAAAGGTTAAATAAAGGAAAGGAAATGTTTTCTGTCAAACAGTCAGGCAACCACTAACAGTCCTGAACTATCAGCAGGAATCTTAACTTCCAGTATTCAAATAAAACTAAGGAAACCGCCTTTCCGTAGCTAAATATCTTAATGTCTGGGGGCTACTTTCTGTCTGGAAAATTGACACAAAATGTGTAAAATTGAAACATTCTGTTTCTGGTGGATTTGCTTGAAGTGGAGAATGGGGTGGGAAGGCTAAGATAAAGAACTATAGTACAAAGACTTCAAAATAAACCAGTCTATCATAATTTAAAAAATCATTTAGAAATCTAAGGTATTATGTTATAATAAATTTTCATTAATCATCTTCTAGGCTGAACATTTAAATGACATAGCAATTTCTCAAAATGCAATTTCTCAAAATGCAGTAAGTTTAACAGAGAGCTAAATAGTATTAATTATACCAGTTAAATTATTGTAATTTAAGAGCACTATATCAGAACTATTGGGGGGCAGTATGGTGGCTCAGTGGTTAAGACGCTGGGCTTATTGGCTGAAAAACCACCAGCCCAGGTTCAAGACCCGAGCTCCATGTGAAAATGTGAGCTCCCGTCCTCACCCCAACTCCTGCTAACCTAGCAGCTTGAAAGCATACAAATGCAAGTAGATGTATAGGTACCACTTTGGTAGGAAAGTAGCAGCGCTCTGTGACATCCTGCTGGCAACATCATCGTGAAAATGTCTTCAAACAGTACTGGTTCAATGGCCTTGAAATGGATATGAGCACCACCCCTTATAGTCAGTAACAACTAGAGGAGTAAAATTTGCAGGGATTTCTTTACCTTATATTAGAACTACTAGAAATATTTCTGTCTGACTTTCTTATACCAACGTTACATACCCAGCTCAAACAAATTTCAAAAGTAATTTTTTTAACAGTGTTTCCTGTTACTGAAATTTACAATGACATTAAACAAGTATAGGTACTCCCTGACTTATGACCATAATTGAGCCTGGAATTACAATTGTAAATTTTGACAGTTGTTAAGCAGGTGTGGTAGAATTTGGTGCAGAATCGCAGGAGCGAGGGCTTCATTCCTAAGGAGCCAAGAGGAAAATCAGCCTGGAATCCTTGATACGCAAGGAAAGGCTCAGAGTGAACCCTCCCTAACTTTTCACATGGTATATAAAATAGGTAGATTGAGCTTTAGTCTGGCAAGATTAATGTCAGGCACAAGGAACCAAGAATGATAGGAGGATTTACTCAGAATCGTTTCTTTATTATTGCTTGCCCATAGACAGGAATTTTTAGACAATGAGCATTTTTTTGCCAGAAACCAAAAGTAAAAAAAAATGCTGAAAGTTGTGGTCATGTGACTAGAGGACACTGAAAATTGATATAATTTTATTTATTTTTATTTATTTATCCCTCATTTATTATTTTTACAAATACCTCAAGGTGGCAAATATATCCAACACACCTCCTATTTTCCCCACAACAACAACCCTGTGAGGAAAGTTTGTCTGAGAGTGACCAGCCAAGATTGCCCAGCTGGCTTTCATGACTAAGGAGGGACTAAAACTCACAGTTTCCTGATTTCTAGTGTGCTGCCTTACCACTGAACCAAACTGGTGCTCTGCAAATGCAATCATGAGATTGCGACTGTCAGAAGTTTGAAACTGAGTCAAAAGTAGCACTGGGGAGATATGATGTAGCTTTGAACAGCTGGCCTGTCATAAGTTAAGGACTCCCTATATTAAAAAGCAAAGCTTGATATAGTCTTTTTATGCTGAATATTGAAAGACATGAAATAAAAGGTTTTGTGGAGGCCCTGACAATGTTAGAAATGTTGGCTGAGAATTTGCATGGGGAAAAAAACAGAGAAATTTCAAATGAAATAATAAAAAAATTACATACAGCTCACAAGAAGTTCCATCAATCTTTTTGAAGAGTACCAATTTTCTGTTCATTTGTAGTATTTAGTAACTATTTAGTAGCTAGAATGAGGAACAATTACTTTCACTTAAAAAGGAAGTATAGATATTGTTTGAATTTTTCATCATCCAACTCCATTTTCTCCCTTATATTCTTATAAAATACACAGCCATTTTCTCAATAAATCAATGAACGAGTATAAAGAATAATTTGTTCTATTTAGCTAATTTTCTAGTATTAGTTTTGAGACATCTATGGAGAACAAATTGCATTTTACGTAATATTTATGCAAAAATATTGAAAACTCAATAGAGTTAATCAACTTTTAGGCACCACTGTAGTACAGCAAATTGGGAATTGAGATATTACTAATTTATAAATGTCTTTGCAACTAGTAGTCAGAAAAAGTAGTAATAAAATCAACACTTGATCATATATTTTGATTACACCCATTTGTTCAGCAACTGTAAAAAAAAATGGACTTAGGGCCAATCTTTCCTTGCCAATTCCCACAAGCAAAGTCAATGGAGAAGATGTCAAGGAAGATTGCAAGTTGTCTCAGTAAGTCACTCCTGTTGTTTTTTCTTCATACTATCTTCTACCAGTTCGTACTTTGTAGCATAGGCCCATCCAACCACAACACCCTCCCCACCCTGTCTCTTGTGGCCTCCATAGGCTCACCTGCAACCTGTCAGGCCACCTGATGCCTCCTGAGGCCCCCACCAATCCCCCACGCTCCCTAGTGCCCACCCACAGTGCACAGAGACAAGCACACTCTCTCTCATTACCGGGGACTTCAGCCTCTTCCCACTTAATGACTTGGGCACCCTGAGGTCCTGACCACATAACCATAACTGCAGGATTGCTGTTGCTAAGCAATGCTGTGACATAACATTGCACTCAATGACAATCCTGCTTAGCAATGGCAAATC